CGGACCACGGCCGGCATCCAATGGTGTTAATGTTTAACTTCAACTAATCCACGAAATTGAGCGACACATCCACCATTGTCATCAGTAAGTTACTATCTCACAACAGACCTGGTTGAACTCCACTGGTCACTGCTTCTCACTAAAACTCCAGGAAATACCTCTTGGAGACCATCAGTAGTAAGCATATGTTGAATAATATCAGAAGGGGTTTATATATATGGATAAAAGTCTGTTTGTCGAAGCATTCTTAAATGTATTGACTGAGAGTTTTATAACTTTTATGATAATTTGGAGATTGTTTAGTATGAACTTAGGTAGTTTATCAGACAGAGTGACTTCAACCAGAGAAATTATTTGGGGTCAGATAGGTGTTTCATTCTGGAATGGAAGCTTATAACAGGATGTACCCACAATCCTAATAGGAATCAAACCATAGACCATTAGGCCATGCAACCGAACACTGAACTTTAAATTGTTCAGTTGCCATTTAATGGTTCATAATTTTAGCTTCATTCAAAGCATTATTTTGCATGATCATCTGTCGTCATCGATGCAGATAATATCATATACAACCTATTTGGATTACATTACTCATGGCTTTACAATAAGATTGTTGAAATTATTTTTGAAGGTAGTTATCGATGAGCAAATGTTTATTATCAGATTTAGATGCTTTTATAAAATATCGGTCTCAAAAATAGTTCTAGAATCATGGATTTTCGATTCAGAGATTTAATAGTAACACCTAAAGGACTTGAGTTCAACCTTTGGTGAGGTAGAGCGTGCTCACCATTGAAGAGTCCCAAACTTGGATAAAACAGCTGATTAATGCCTATGGTTTCCAATAGTACTTCAGTTGTCATCGTTCTGTGAAGAAATTATCTATAAATTAAACTGATCGGCATCACCTATACAACTAAATTATATATTTTTCGTAAACCTCATAAACCGTTTTTTTTTTTACAAAACAACCAATGAATAGATGGATAGCGCGGAGAAATAGTTGTATAGTGCTTGCCGGTAAAACATTGGGTACCAACTCTGTTATCTGAAAGTTAAGCAATTGATAGGAGATTCGAAGTTCCTGAGTTTAGTTTCTGATGAGTTTACGACTACGTACTAATGAATAGACTCGTGTTTATTTGACTGAATCACATTCATTATATAGACTACAACATTCAATAATTTCTACAACTTCTACATAAATAATAATGTCAGTGCACTCCTTTGATTCTCAACTTTAACGTGAAATAAAATATACGTCATTTAAGAATAGCTACTTGGAATTTTATTTGAGTCACTTAGTATGAAGACAGTTGAAAAACCCATGCCACTAAATGTAGTAAGGCCGTCTCATTTTTATCTAGAAGTTGACAAATTTATGTAATGATAAGTAAATAAAGGTCACTAGATACTTTTAAACCAGTCTAAACTAATAAGAGTTAGATTTTAAATAAGAGGTGATATATCAAAACAAACAAGATAGTCACAAGGCACGTAACTTCAGATAAGCTAATTATTGGTGTTATCAGTACTATCATCAGTATTGTTATCATTATTTTTGTAACTGAGGTAATTACGACTATCAGTTGACCAGTCAGCGGTCATATGAAGCATAAGTACTTTTAAAAGTGATTTCAGCCAATTTACGCCTTAAAAATATCAATAGTTAAATACTAAAATGAAAATTTTTACAAACTAAATTTTGTTACAATAGTTGAAATCATGAATCAATTGAAGCTAGACCACCATGGAAAACCTGGAAGCACTGGACGGCCATTTCGAACCAGTATGGGACTCCTCAGCAGTGCGCATCCACGATCCCGCCCCCCATGGGACACGAACCCGGGACCTATCAGTCTCGCGCCAGGCGCTTAACCAAATAGACCACTGATCCGGCTGGCATCCAACGGTCTTAATGTCTAACTTCAATTGATTCATGATTTCAACTATTGAAATTACCAATTCTCCACAAAACCCATTCTAGTAATAATCATCTGCTCACTAAAGACTGACTTCAAGAGATACTCCTGGAGTTCTAGTGAGAAGCCGTGACCAGTGGAGTTCAAACAGGTCTGTTGTGAGATATCAGCTCACTGAAGACAATGGTGACGGTGGCGCAACTTCGTGGATTGGTTGAAGTTAGACATTAAGACCGTTGGATGCCAGCCGGATCAGTGGTCTATTTGGTTAAGCGCCTGGCGCGAGACTGATAGGTCCCGGGTTCGTGTCCCATGGGGGGCGGGATCGTGGATGCGCACTGCTGAGGAGTCCCATACTGGGACGAAATGGCCGTCCAGTGCTTCCAGGTTTTCCATGGTGGTCTAGCTTCAATTGATTCATGATTTCAACTATTGAAATTACCAATTCTTCACAAAACCCATTCTAGTAAATTTTGTTTGCCAAATTGAACAAACCAAAATGTAAACAAGATTGCGAAAACTGACCATAAATCCTTGTATTACAAGGTTTTCGATCACCTGAAAATGACCTTAAGTTGCAATAATTAGAACTTAATATGAAGAGTTTGCATACTTTATCAATGGAATTAAAGTGGATGTTTATAATGACACAAAAAGAACAAAATATTAAGAAGTCATGAAATGTGACATCAAAATTTGCATTTGGGGTTTATGCATACTTATATATTGAAAACTATTTATGAAAAGGAAATACTTCTACTGTGGTCACCTCTAGCTGTGTTTCGCAACTAGCTTTATGTGGGAAGGCAAGCGTTTAGAAATAACCTCTACGTAGTTTTCTGAATATGTTCCTACAATACGTATTCCTGAAAGAAAGTAGCATTAATATATGTGATCGCTAAATTCTTGATGGATTGTGAACACAAAATGTATATCCCTGTAGTTCTTGAAATACTCAACAAACAACGAACATCCACTGTAACTAGATTCAAATAAGAAAGCTCCAGTTAATATATCGTTTGATTTTATGATTACTCAAGTAATCCGAACAAAATTATCCAAAATAAATGAAATGAATTTCAGCATTATATTTATCAGTTAAGTTTATTTGAAAGGAAGCTTACAACACAACCACATATCAGTCAGTTCATGTTTCTTTTCATATAATTAGAACAAATGATTTTGACTTATGATATTCAACCAAATCTAATCGCTCTTAAACAGTAATCAGTAGGGTTGAGTCTCCTTCAAAAAATATCGTTGACTATTTCGTGAAGCGATTCGATCCGGGTTATGAGTTATAAATAATACAATGTACAATTATCATAATATAAATTTTAATTGCAGTTTGTATACTGATTGACTGCCAAGCAGTGCTTATTGTTAGGCCCCTTGGAGTTAATCGATTTCTGATAATCAATTACTAACGAAGCTGTGGGTATAAGTCAGTGAATATTATGGTGCCTTGATTTGGTCTCAGGTTCCTCAATTGGGCTTTGTGCTAGTTCGGCTCATCAACAAGACATATCTGTAGTCTGGCAAACATTAGAATTCGTTCAGCACTCATTACATTCGACATCAGTTGATACTAAGTCAATAGTTAGTGTAAATATATCAATCTTGCAGGAATTCTTCAACAGCCGTAACATATCCGACCATGACTCTATATAACTCAATTTTAAATCGCCTAAGACTGCAGATGAACCTTGTTGGAGAGTGTCAGGTGGTGAAGCACTTATATCTCAGATTTCCCGCAGATCAATAATTTCGAATACTTTATAACCTTGCAATAAAACTAGTAATAAACGTTGTTATATTTAAAGGATTGTTTTAAGTAAATGGATTCTTACAGATTAATACTAATAAAGGTGAGTAGATATGATTGTTTATCCAAAAATTTACAGAAATAATCATGCTTTTGTTAACATTCGTAATTTTAGAATTCTGGCTTTTTGTCACTGATAGTAGAATACAATTTAGTAAAATCTTTACACATGTTTTGGAATCAGTTCACGAAACTGGATAATCAAGTATAGGCTGGTATGCCTTCGTGTGAAACATATGATTTGACTACGCAAACAGACTTAAGTGATTTATTAGTATAGGGTTGTGGAAATTACTGCGGTTTATTTGAAATCATGAATCGATAAATGTCAGACCACCAGTAAAAACCTGGAAGCACTGGATGGCTGTTTCGTCCTGGTGTGGGTCACATCAGCAGTGCGCATCCACGATCAGGCACACGGGATTCAGTATAAACCAGAAGACCAATAGCTGAAACAAGTATGATCCAACTGTTGATTCGCTTCTGTCTTGTACTTATAAAAGTGAAAATTGTACAATAAATCGATTTTATTTATAAAAAAATATACTCTTCCTTTATTATTGATATATGACCAGTGTTCATCGGTATATTTTCAACAATATTGACTTTAATACACTGATTATAGTAGTAACTGGAATAAATTATTCATAACCTCTTATACTGAGATTTTAGTTTAAATTTAGTTAATCACTCCATAAAAATGATTTGTTCAAATTAAGACATTTCGCTAGTTACTGATATTGATTAGTAAGTAGTATGCTTACCGACATTACCATCAGTTCATTACGTGTTTCATTGTTACTTTTTTATTTTGAAGATAAAAAATGGATGAAGATATAGTTATTACAGAACTTTCACTATTGTTATTACTCAGGATTAAAATTAATATTTAAAAATCCATTCTCATCTATAAAACAAAAGAAAATGGGTCTAAATATCATACTCTATGCAAATTTGCGTAATTTTACGCAAATCATCAAACTGCATCATGAGGCAAGCCCTAACTTGGAATCCTGTAGGAAAGCGGAAAAGATGAAGGCCAAAGAATACATTACGTCGGGAAATAGAAGCAGATATGAAAAAGGATGAATAACAACTGGAAATAGCTGGAAAGGATTGCTCAGGACATGATTGAATGGCGAGTGCTGGTGGGTGGCCTATGCTCCTTCACGAGAAGTAACAGACGTAAGTAAGTAAGCTATGTAAATTCTATTAAATAAATAAATAAAACAGAACATCTGAGATTTACTTACCGTTATAATATAATTCACTTGTAAAATATAAATACAATAATAGAGATAATATCCAAGTTGGTATAAACATTATATATTAGATGTATTACTGTTTATAGACATTTGGATACATTTAACTAATTGCATTATTGTTAAATGCAAACTTGTATTATTCATAGAAAATGATTAATGTAGAATACATTTTATAGTTAATAATTTTCTGTTCATATATCACTAGTAGAAATTTACCCCAAGTGAAAACTTGAATCAAACAGAAAATAATCACTAAGTTACTGTTTGTTTTTTATTCGTATTTTTAAGACCAAAAAAAAAGAAACAACAAAAATATGATCCACTGCTATTGTTAATTTTGTTTAGACTTGATAAACTTCTAATTTTATTTACTGCTAAACATATGAATCCAGTCCATCGGTAATATTTAATGAAATATAACTGTTTATTTCAACATTTGCAAATAGAAGAACTCAATTCGTTTTTTTTTTTTATTTTGAAAAGTAACTGTATCAAGATATTTCCATGCCTCGTTCTTTAATAATTATGAAGTGATTTCAATTACGATGTGTTTTATTAGACAAAAATATTCTTAATTGAAATCTAAAAATAACAACCAGTAGATGAGCAGGTTACATTGTGTGACTTGTATAGTGATTATACGTATATATATAAGATTGATTATGTACACGTGAAGTAAATTGTGTTTATAAAGCACCAGCCTTCATGCACATATAGTTAATAACACGCATACAGACAAGTAAACTATACATTGATGCATAACACCAATAGGATTGATTTATAGATAAATATATTCACATGACAAAGTAATTTTGAGAATAGTCTGTGGAAAGGGTAATACACAGATTTACATGTGTGTCATTTTCACTATATTTAAAAAAAGAATGCTATATCATTATAAATGTCTGTGAATATGACCAGAAACATTGACCAAGAAAACTAGTAATAGTAAAAGTGGAATTTACCGGTTTTTGCTCAATTTATTAACTAGATCTGATTTTGAAAGTTTTATTAGAATGTTGATTTGTTACAATAGAGGTCGACATATTCGAAAGTAAGTCTGCAATCTCCAGTTAGTGTTGGTGCTAAAGAGAGTTTGTGATATCCATTAAAATTCAATCCGAGATACCCGACCGTAACTACTATACTAAGATAAAAATAACCACAGATTCCAGCATCTTAATAAAGCAGTACTGACCAAGATGTTTGCCGCTGGATCATACTAAGCAGGTGAACCTGATAGTTCTCAAACTATTGGTAAAAACTACCAGATACTAGGATGAAAGTATATAGAGAACGGTTAGTTACTGTTAGATGTCTCATATACATAATAAGTATCACATTCCGATTATTTGAATGATTTACCTATTAGTTATCCGACCGAATAGACTTTTAATAAGTCAACACTACTATACATATGTTTGTATTACTTACGTATGATGGAAGCGCTAATTGAATATTGCTGTTAAATGTAGAATACCAGATAAAGATAGAGGGAATTTATTAGTCAAGATTTAAACTTGCCTGAATACTGAATATCTGTTATAGCAGGTGGTGACAATATGGGTTGGAAATTTTTAAATACAATCGGATCAGTTATATATTTTTAATCTCATTATTTATGGTGTATTTTAACAGGTTGCTTATTTACACAACAATTAATTCGAGAGATTTAATTGGTAAACCCCTTCGACATGCCTGATTGCATTGCTGTGCTTATGAATAATGGCATTTAAATCCATTTTTAACTGTTTTGTTTGATTATGATTCAATTTAAAACAAGCATCTGGATGACAATTATTGATATTTACTCTATTTGAAGAGTTTCTAAAGAGAGTTAAAACTATATTAGGTTTTAACTGTATTATCCAATGTCTACGTTATTTGTTCATCTGTTGGACTTTGTATGTTTCGTAAGGCTTATATTAGGTTTTCTATTTTAGCGTCAGACAGTAAGGGGCTGTTGGTGCTTAATGTCTTTATTTATCTTTAGAAAGTAAGCGATCGACTGAAATGTAATTTCTGTCAACATAAACTACCTTCAAGATTATTAGCCATATGAATGAATGCTATAATAAATGAACTAATTAATACTACTATAGTTTACGGCAGTAGTATGAGTTAAGGTTTTTAGTATGTTACACAAATCCTTTCATTTATAATACAATGTTCTATTAATTCTCATAGCGCTACTATTTTGATTTATTGAAGATGAACAATTGAAAGCTACTACATCAAAGGAACAAACACTAAAGTGGATTAATTTCTATTTATTATGTTTCACTGTATATCCTTATTATTTTGGAAGCTGACTCGCAAATCCCTCTGACCAAAACTATTCAATTAACCAGATTTGCTTAAAATTAATTATTTTGCTACAATTCATTTAAAATGGGTTTATAAGATAGCTTACAGATTAAATAGGTGCTCACTTACATCTATTACAAATCAAATACTGTCTAATAATGTTTTTGAGAGAAATGATTGAGTGACAAATAAGTACTTGGTTTATAAAATACGGCAGTGCTAAGGTCGGTGGCTAGATAGATTCTTCTGCAATTTTCTCTCAGACTTTCAGAGTTAAACACAATAATATGAAATTTTCGGATGAAAAACCAATGAATGACACTCATTAATCCACGATTATTAAGTTAGAATTGTTGTATACTAACCACTGTCTCAGTTTTATAGTAGTTTTAGAATACCTTGATCAATATAAAATCCCTAATCATAATTATTCATTTCATATAAATGAAATCCAAATGCCATTTAAAATTAATTTTAGATTAGGTCTGTTGTGACTGCTTAACTAGACGATAATCTCATCACGCACCAAAATAAACTATGGAATATTGAACATCTTACTTTTGGACTCCACAGTGTAACTCGCCAACTACTTCAAAAGTTATCAAACTGAGAAATATTATGTTTTATAAAGAAGATTAACCACTTTAAACCATTGAGCTAAATTCTAATAGTTTATATTTCCAACTAAAAAAAACTCTATGATACTGTGAGACAATTGCCTAATGTGATTGATAAAACGTTATTTCAATATTGAAATGTTTGAAATGCATCCGTCATAGATAATTACTAAAACTTATGGAGTTCATTTTAGGTTTGTCATTAGTTAGGATACAATTGTTATTAAGATAAACAACAACAACTTGTATAAACCAGCAATGCAGTACATTGTGATGTTAATCTTTATTCACTTGATTTTAGTCTTCAGTAAAAACGAATTTCAGCAATTAAAAATATTAAAAAAGTCAAAAGATTTATCAACCTTTTTGTGACTTTAATAGTCATCCCTAAAACTTATTACATTCAACAAATATTATAAATACATTGATAATATGCGATCAAATTATTGATCATTTAATCTTTACTCTTCACTAATGAAAAGTAAACCAATTTCAAACAAATCCAACTAACATTTTATATGAATGTAAATGAATTATCGATTTCTAGACACAGTTTTTGTTGTAAATTTTGTCTGACACAGTAAACGATAAACTAAACTCAGGTATACCATTATGACCACAAGACTGAATATATATATATATATATATATATATATATATATATATATATATATATATATATATATATATATACAGAGAGTGATTTTCAAAACACTTTAATGGTTGAATAATAGAAAGGTAATACTAAACAAAATAAAAAATTCATCTATTCAACTTTTCTTTTGAAAAACAGTATTTTCTATTTTACTTAAACTTAGTTTAATACCAAATTTAAGTAAAATAGAAAAGTTTTTCTTAAAAAAGTAGAATAGACGAACCTTTTATTTTGCTTAGTATTTCCTTTCTATTATTAAACCATTAAAGTGTTTTGAAAATCTTTTTTTTCTCTCTCGCTCTCTTACTACCAAATGCCCTTGTACGGCCGAGAGTGGAGAGTCAACTTTACCTCTCGAAATGCTCTCACCTGGCCAGGGAAGTCCTACTAAGTACCTTCTCGTCTCGGGGGTGTTGTTTACGAAATTGAGAGGGTGAAAAGTGAATGTTTGGCGCTTTAACCGGGTTAGTGAACACGGAGAATCCATCTAAGGGAGTTGGAAAACCCTGATTTAAAACCAATGGTATACATGGGCTCCAGTATCCGGAGGTAACAAATGGCGTATGAATCTATTGTCTGTCACCGGCTACCATAGGACTGCATCTCATGACGTTGCTCTACTGCCTTGAAAATTAGACTTTTAGGTCAAAGGCTCGAGGTGTGGCCCCTTAAGAAAACCACCTGCTTTGTATTTGGGCACCTGGGCAGTATCCTAGCCGTCACACAAATCGAGTGATTTACGTGGTGAATATCTATTTGATGCCTTCTTGTAACTTTGTTTGTGTTTAAATAAATAAATAAACTACTACTAATAAATACACCTTGATATAGGCAAAAGTAATTAAGTTTTACTTATTTTAAACAAATCCCTTAAGTTTAAAAATTTCATTAAATCTAAGAAAGGAAAAAAATTCGATCGGTAGTGTGCAAATTTTGAAACATAACAACAAATGTTGTACTATTTAAACTTGGATTAATTTTAATTTGGTTATTAATTCTCTGAAGAAGTGGCTTACACTGAGTCACGAAACGTCAGAAAATTTAATTTTTCTACTCATTGGGATATTACAAATATATTAATTTATTTATTTATGTCAATCTACTCAATGCTCAATTTATTTGAAATTATCAAATCAAACCTTGGTAATGATGCCTAGAAAAATAAAATCAACCAATAGTAGTGATGAATTTATTCGACGAACTTGAAGATTTTTGACGACATAGTTAATGAGCATGAAAAAAGTATGTAAAATATTGAGGGATGTATCGTTGAACAAACTCAAAATGATCATTACCTCCTACATAAAATACATGTTTAATATGTGTGATATATTTTTTTCTGGTAGACAACTTACATGGTTGATTTATATTGAATAAGGAACTGGTATATGTCCTACATTTGCCATAAGTACAATTTGTGGTTATATTAACAAAAGAAAACTAGCATGAATTAGAAGTTCAAAAGGAACATGTAGAATT